GAGCGAGTTTTATTGTAATGACGGAGGAAGAGGCGCTTGCTCCCCCTCCTCCCCCCCAGTCGCAGCTGACTTGAAAGTGCTCACCCTAAATAAGATACAGAGGTCATATCTGCACTATAGAATATATTATAAATTATACCGTGCATCCATTAACAAAATATACAAAGCCAACAGAAATATAGCTTAAGCCTGAGCATACATTATCTAAGCCCTAGTAAGAAGTAACTTAAAGAAACCAGCATTTCACACTTCACATTTCAATCTGCAATGAAGTGTTCCTCCTCAAACATTTTAGTGTTTTGTTAAATATAGAACACATTAACATTCCAAGTATGAAGGTACACACAGAAAGAACACATGTCCTGCTGGGCATTCCAGATCAAAGCAGACAACCATGCTACGCTCAGAAATTTCACCAGCTATCACACTTTATCCATGTCCTTTTCCTCCTCCTCGAGTAGGCATAAGCCCAAAGGTACCCAAAACAGTACGCCTAAGTTAGGGTGGGAAAAACACAGTAGTTCCAAGGTACAGAAAGATCTTTATCTGGTCCACAGCAGACAGTTGTATTGGTGTACAGAGATGGGAAAACACTGCAAAATAGTTCTACTGTATTTCAAAATAAACATTTAAGAGTATATCTTCCACAATCTATAAAAATAGGTTTAAAACAAAAATGGTATGATACATTTTTTTTCTTCAATTATTTTAATGGTATCTTATCTGTAAGGGTATTACGTCTTTTAAAAAAGTTACTACTACTGATCACCTGGTCAGTCACGATACTGGTACTGCTTCAGCTACGTTGTGACAAAACAGGAACACCTTAGTTTGAAGCAGCAGTAATAAGATATTTTAGGATTAATGGTCTCTTACTGCAGCAAGGAAAAAAGTTTGCTTGAAAGTAAGAACGTAGCCAACACTGCTGTCACCTTCAGAGGACTGGACTCTGAAAAGTTATCTATGGATACACCACTGCACAGCAGTGTATGTTGCTCGTTTCTCGTGATTCTTCAGAATCAAATCTCTCTCAGCACATTTAGAAGGAAATTCTTAGATTTCTAAATTAAGTATGGGCATCTAAAGCAAAATCTTGTGAGAAAAGTGAATCCTACAGATGGAAACATGGGAGCAGCTAGAACCATCGCAGGAGACTGTACACTTAAAACTGCTTAAGTTAATGCATTTTTCAAACTATAATGTAAGTCACACAATCCCTACCTCAAGCACTCTTCCCATTCCTAAACTCTACCAGAATTTGTACTCCAATTCAGGCCTAGGTTTCTACACATTCTTCAATTCTTCTATGTGGTATTAACAGAATAAGAGGTTTGCACTGTACTGAAAAGAGATAGTGGTCAATTTTTTATGACTTTTACAAAGAGCCTATAAAGATTCTTTGAAAGACCTTTCCTACCCTTACACTCCATTTTTAACAAAGTATTTTATGTAGGCTGTTAGGGATATGTTTTATGCTGTCATTACTAGAGATGGTTCAACTGCTGCTGGTAAATTCACTCTCCTGCTTCATTCTGCTAAAAGAAGCAATGATTTTCCTGGTATTCATCAGTTTAACAGTGGTTACACCTTCAGACTTTTCAAAAGTTGTTTGCTGGTTTAAGATGGCTTTTGTGTATGAGTAATCTTTTTCTTCGAAGAATCATTTGTAAGGTTTAAAGTCTGTTAAATTACTATCATGCACTGGACAAATCAATCACTAAATCATATCAAAGAAACAACTTGCTAGGTGTGGGCATCTCTTGTAAATTAGGCAAGACTACATTTTACAGCAGCATTTTACATTGGTTCCTATTCCAAAGCTTGTTAAAAGTCAACAAAACAAGTTTCCAGCTGCCTAAAAAAGAAAAATCTTACACACAATAAAAGGGGAATTTCTCATCTGGGTGGAAGGTTAGAGTAATGCTACAGGATTCAGTATGAAATTAGAGACTTTAAGATTACTCATTTAACTATGAGGTCCAAGTAACAGTTGAAATTCTGGTCTCCAATTCATAAGATGCTGTGACAAGCACTGTGACATTTCTATGACAAAAAAAGTCAAAAGCTCAGAAGAAAGCCAAAGTTTTAGTCACACCTCCAAAGAGAAAGCAGGTGAGGAGTCACCTGCTACTGTTGCAGTGTTTAATGACAGTTTATGCAATGAAAACGATTCCTCCCTCCACCATGAAGGTTCAGCATCTACTGCTGTACCAGTCACCGTTACTGATCTGAAGCAATTCAGTTACCACTTGAACCATATTATTGTTGTGTTTCTTCAGCAGTCGCAGGTTTAACTGCCTGTCACAGAATCCCATCTCACACAGACTGGATAGAAGAGTGGCAGTGTGCTCTTCTGTAGCTGCAGGCTGCTGAAAACAAAAGATTGTAAGATAAGCTATAAAAAGATAATTTTTTTGCCATTTGAAGCAGTGGTCCTGCATTATACTGGAATATAATTAAGGCACAGAGGCCCTTTTGTCTACAATTAAGCTGTTTATATTGACTTTCACTCTTCACTCACAGAGGTGAATTACCACTCTCACATGACGCTGTAAGAGACATGCTTCTATCCCCATGGTATGGATTTCCCTATCTGCTGGTGGAGCAGCATACTTCAAAGGGACACCATCAAGCTTAATGTTTTACTGTTGCATGAAGTCCTATACAGAATATAGATACATTTATAAAGCATAGACCTATAATTTTAAGGTTGGTATTCTATGCAACTCACATAGCATACAGGAAAGATGTTTACCTGTTCTATAACGGGTGGCCCAGCAAATAATGCTTTGTAGGCAGAAGCAGCAACTGACAAAGCTCCTTTAACTAGTTCTCCTGCAATGCTGCCTCCTTGAGGGTATCTGCAGAGAAGTCAGGTATTACTTTAGGATCAGTACAGCCAAGTGTTTGTTACACATGAAATGCAAGTCTCTCCCTGTTGATGTGCCATCTGAGATTTAGTTCTTATTGGAGAGAACAACCTACGATCCAAAGGAATCATTGCTGTTTGGGACTTGAGCTATCCAGGAAGCTCATTTCTTCTTTCTTGGTATCTTCTATTAAATTGTGGTTTTATGCTAAAGCATATTAGGTTGCCTTCCATAACATGGCCATTTGTAAAGAATTAAGTATTCTCACCCAGAAGAGTACATCTATACACGAAAGCTGGGCACTGTGATACAGCCATTCAGGTCAGAGTAACTTCCATTTGTTTTCCATCAATTCTTAAGTCACTTAATATTCTGCCCAATGTTTTGTCTTATTCCTCCAGTCTCAGTATCTTAAGATGCTTAACTTTGTAGCTAACTTACAAAATCCCTATTTTAAAAATCTGGAGATTTTCCAGGAAAAAAACCCCACAGTATTTTAGGATTCGGCTTGAGCTCTTCATACGCTTTTGCTTGCCAATTCTGCATCCTTCATATTTGTGTCTAAGTAGAAACTGAGATCTTATGAAAATATAGCATTATATAATTCAGCGTATGTTTCCTTTAAGAAGGGAGGCCTTTCTACCAAAATACTGACTACAGGAAATCTGTAAGCCTGTGCTTTTTCCTAGGTGCCTAATTTAGCAGTTCTTAGTTTAAAACAGCATCTGGGAAGTCACAGCTTCAGCTTCATTACCTTGGGTATTCTGAGCACTTTTGTTTACTAGTTAGAAATCCAGAAGATCCTGGTCCATGACTGTCTTCACCACTGGGTTCTGGAACAGGAAGAAAAAAATATCATATCAACCTGTCCAGTTATTGAGAAGCTGAAGACATGCAGCATGTACATAAAGGGAACGGAGTGGGATTCAGTCCAAAACTAATACTTTCAAGTTTAGTTATCCAGACACAAACTAGGTATACAGGATTCTCACTACAGTCAAGACAATCAAAAGAATTTCAGAAGTCATTTGGCTGATTAGTCAGTGGGTGTCTACTTTAACATGACATGAACTGCTGTCTGAGCTCCCAGTAACTGTAACAACAGCTTAAATACATAGCTCATTAATTCCAGAGCAAGGTAGTTTTCCAGATGTCTACAAATACTTCTGAGTACCCTCCTACCATTTCTAATTAATAGATGCTCTTAGCTGATCCACAAAGCTAATTATTCCTTTATTCAGATCTTCTACATAGTAAAATTTCAACACCCAGAGAAAAAAAAACAATCATTACTTGTTACTCTTGAGGAGAGCAGAATCTACCAAGACACCAAATGCAATACTAGGCATAAGAAATAGGCGGTAACAACTGTGGATGCACCCTTCATTAAGTACTGTCAATACCTTCTCTTATTTGATTATGAGAAGCGGAAGAGAGATTCTCTGAAGCAGATATGTTTGGTTCTTGGAAGATATGATTCTGAAGAGATGCAAGATTCCTGAGAACATAAGGCAAAAAAAATTACTACTTTCATTCTACGCGTAGGTAAGTCAGGATCAACAGACAAAAAAAAAAGAAGCTTCACATGCTCCCTTCTTTCCCTCTCTCACACTCACCTAATCAGTGAGTACAGGCCTTATAAGAAGTTGCAGGATTTAGGATGTTCACTCCAGCATGAGACAAAACTTTTGTTGCAACAATTTCTGTTTGGATGCTGAACTTCAGCACAACACCCAGCAACACTAACATAACCATGTTGTTCTTGTCCAAGAAGCATACCTTTGTGTCTGGGGTAAGGTGTCCGCAATCTCTGGGGTTAGTGGTACTACAGCCAGTGTTTGTGAAGTTGTCAAAATATCACTGACACTGTGGATCTGCGGCTGGCTGCCCCCTTCTGGACTCTCTGCTCCTGTTTCAGGTTCTCCTGTCTTTTCCAAACTGGGCTGAGAAAGAGCAGAACTATACATAGACTCCCCTAAAGGACGACTGGTGTCAAAGCACTCAGGGAGAATAATGATATAATCCTCTGATGAAGCAGAGGAGCCTTGACTTTGAACATCATCTTCCTCTTCATCAGAATTGCCAGTATCACTACAGGGGCTTGCTCTCTCATCAGACAGTGGAAGGTCCCCTAACAGGGAAAAAAAAAGTGAAGTATAAACAATTGTCCATTTTGTATGGATAACAGCAAAGACAGTATTGTCCCAGATATAAAAGGCAAGTATTCAGAAACAACTGTAAACCTTTGCTGCTGATATTAATGGTATAATTTTCTTTGTCTATTGGAGGGAGGGTAGGGGTGCAACGTGAAAGAGTAATAGATGTTACTGTTAAGCTCTACTGGGTTTGCACAGCAAGGTTTTGGTAGCAGGGGGGCTACAGGGGTGGCTTCTGTGAGATGATGCCAGAAGCTTCCCCCATGTCCAACAGAGCCAGTGCCAGCTGCCTCCAAGACAGACCCCACCGCTGGCCAAGGCCAAGCCAATCAGTGACGGCAGTAATGCCTCTGTGATAACGTATTTAAGAAAGGGAAAAAGTTGCTGCGCAACAGCAATTGCAGCTAGGAGAGAGGAGTGAGAATATGTGAGGGAAGTGAGAATATGTGAGAGAAACAGCTATGCAGACACCAAGATCAGTGAAGGAGGGGGAAGAGGTGCTCCAGGCACCAGAGCAGAGATTTCCCTGCAGCCCATGGCTAAGACCATGGTGAGGCAGGATGTCCCCCTGCAGCCCATGGAGGTCCACCGTAGTGCAGATATCCACCTGCAGCCCGTGGAGGACCCCATGCCAGAGCAGGTGGATGCCTGAAGGAGGCTGTGGCCCTGTGGAGAACCTGCGCTGAAGCAGGCTCCTGGTAGGACCTGTGGACCTCTGGAAAGAGGAATCCACACTGGAGCAGGTTTGCTGGCAGGTTTGCAGTGTGACCCTGTGGGGGACCCACACTGGAGCAGTCTGTTCCTGAAGGACTGCACCCCGTGGAAAGACCCATGCTGGAGCAGTTTGTGAAGAACTGCAGCCTCTGGGAAGGGCTCACGCTGGAGAAGCTTATGGAGGACTATCTCCCATGGGAGGGACCCCACGCTGGAGCAGGGGAAGAATGTGAGGAGTCCTCCCCCTGAGGAGGATGGAGCAGCAGAGACAACGTGTGATGACCTGACCACAACCGCCATTCCCTATCCCCCTGCGCTGCTAGGGGGAGGAGGTAGGGAAAAATCAGGAGTAAAGCTGAACCCGAGAAGAAGGTGTTTTAAGATTTAGTTTTTATTTCTCATTACCCTACTCTGATTTGATTGGCAATAAATTAAACTAATTTCCCCAAGTCGAGTCTGTTTTGCCCGTGACAGTAATTGGTGAATGATCTCTCCCTGTCCTTATCTCGACCAATGAGCCTTTCGTTACATTTTCTCTCCCCTGTCCAGCTGAGCAGGGGAGTGATAGAGCAGCTTTGGTGGGCACCTGGCATCCAGCCAGGGTCAACCCACCACGTAAGCCTATGCAGATATGCTGCTGCTATTAATGCTTATAATAAAAACAGGAATAAGCGCTACACTGAGAACTTAAACAGTAGTTTTCAGCTCCTAAATTACATGCATCAGAAAGTTCAAAGCACTGACTTCCATATTTTGTACATGTAGCTTGAAGCACCAGCCATGCTTAACATACGAGCACTTATTTGAATACCCCACTGGAACCTTTATGTCTCAATCTCACTTTTTTTTTTAAGCAGCTGTTAAACTAGCTGCTTGTTCAGAGTACTGACACCAATCTTCTGATGTAATAATGATTCTCTTGATCTAACAAAGATCAATTTCCTGGAACAGTGTCAGATCTTTTTATACCTGATTTTTTTTGTAGCCCTTATTACAGCTTTATCTTAAATTCAAACCTATTTTACTTACCACAGTCATTTTCTGTCATTCCCTCTGACTGATGAATCTTTGCTTCCTTTTTAGAAGTGGAATTAGTTTTTATCCTAGGAGATTCTTCATTTATCACATTGCAACTGAAGGTGTCTTGCGATGTTTGTAAAGAATCTAATAAAATCGTCAGGAAAAACAATTAAAGTGATATCACCACCTGCAGTGCAGGGCAATTTGTGGCCAATGTCTGACTGCAAAAAAGTAAAGCCACAGAAGCCAGCTAAAGACAGTACTTACTCTGGAGGATTTTCTTTTTTTGTGGGGGCTTATGGTCAGGTGCGGCATCCAGGGTTAGAGAGCGAATTACAGTTTCACAGACAAACTGAGTCCCACTCATATCTTCTTCCCCTTCCTCCTGGTTCAATGGATGTTCAGCTTTCACTTTCACTACGCAAGTATCTGCAGGAAAGCAGGCTTCCGCCATTCCTTTGAAAGGGAAACGTAACAGATTATTTTAACACCACCACAAGGAAATGTAAGTGTAAGAAGAATTTTTTAGGCTAGCCAAGGCTAATAACAACAACTCTATGTGTTAATTCTTTTTAAGAACTGAAAGATTTTGGAATTCAGTTCAAGTTGAATGTGAAAGTGATTGAGAAGTATGGGGGCCACACCTGGAGTGTTTGAGTATGATCTCATCTATAAAGGGCAAATTGTTAATTCTCCCAATTTTAGTAGTTGGACAATTCAAGAGAAGCATTGGTATGTCTGAATTCTACATGTATTATACTCCAACCTCTACAATCAGAGTAGCATCAGCCTACAGGTTTACGAGCCAAACAACTGTTTGTTTTTCCACAGAAGGGAAAGACAGGAGTTAGAATTCTTTTTAGACATCAAGACTACTGACTGCACAGAAGTGACAATATGCTCCTCCCCTCACCCCCAAGCTCCCCAGGACTACCACTTACCAGGCACTGGTTTAAATCCACTCCCCTCATTCTCCTCCTCTATCTGACCTAAGCCAGGCTTCTCCAGCAAGGGGCTATCATGTGGCAAAGGGGACATGCATGGAGTCATGTCTGAAAAACAAAGGCAGCAAAGATAATTGGCACTAAAGGAGTAGGAACTTTCCTTCCTCCAGGAGGCAACCTCTTAAGAAGTTATCCTTTAAGGGATATTCTTCCAAGACTGAAGAAACCCAGTTATCTTACAAGATAATTTGGTGAAATAAACAACTAGCTTTGCATTACACTGGCACTGGTTGAGCAAAGAAAATGGCAGCCTTCTTCAATGTCTGGAATCTTATGGTCTTGGGGATGTGAAGCTGAAAAGAAGCCAAGACTGAAAAATACAAAGGATACAAAGCACTATCAAATATCTCCTCTAAGACTGCAGTAAGAATTAAAATGAACAGACAGGAGAGCTGGGCAGACACTCTAGCCTGAAGAACAAATAAGCCTTTTGCACAAGTTCAGCTTTTCATTGGGTAAATAGTTAACTCAGAATGCTAGAGACGGCACACAGAATATGAGAAGAACCTTACCAACAGGAGTATTGTGCGGCACTCGCTCCAATTCCTGCACAATATTTATGTCCAACAGCTCAAAGGACAGCAAATCCTACAGCAAGAAACACCACAGAGTTTTCATCAGCAAACCCTGAAATGGAATCTTATGCTATACTTCCCATCATCAGATCCCATTAACTTACAAATAAGTCTACTCCACTTTGTTAGTTACTCAGCATGATCTCAGACAGAGGGCAGTTTTCCCATAACGTACATCCATGTCATAGAATACAGTACACAAATTAGGGCAGCAAGAGGCAAAGCTAAGTACTCCCTTGTTAAGGGCCAGAGAAAGACCCAACCCTGTGACTCTTTATTGAGAATCTTAGTCTGTCCTGCACGTACCTTCCATATAGTGACGGTCCCTGACACTAATTCTAGAAAACAGTTCAGCTATATAAAATGCAATATACTCTTCCTGAAAATACAGTGGCTATTTTAGAGCTCAGAAGCTTTTTTATTCTTATGGATGTCTATGTACCCAGATATCAAATCCAAGGTGTTTTTTTTTAATCTCAACCTGAATTTTAGCACTTTACCTGTGCAGTGAGGAGATCAACAGATGGGATATAAAATTCTCTCTCACTTGGCAGATTTTTGATCTTTAACGGAATAGTTGGCAGAGGTATTTCGGCCTGCTCCATGATTTCACCCATCAGTTGAGCACCTGCTTCTGTCTTTAAGGAAGCATCCTGCAAAAGCAAAAAAAAACCATCCCAGAAGCCCCTTAGGGCAGGCAGCAAATAAAACAATTACAGGAAATGTAAAGCCTGAATATTGTTTATAAGAACACAAGTAACTTGAAAAGAGATTTAATTCAACTCATTTTAGAGCCAAAAGGACAAGATGTAACATAAAGAGAAATCCTGCAGCATTTCAGTTTAATCAAAGAACTAGAGAAATAGCTGCTACAGCCCGATAACTAATCCCATGCCTGTCAAAAAGAATGACCATTTTAGAACTTACAAATGCAATAAAAGTTGTGTTTCTTCTCTATTAAAAATAAAAATTAGAAGCAAACAACTAAAAGAATCCCCTGGAAATCAATATAGTTAGGGACACTACACCATCGCACCAAACAATATTCATTGCTCCTTCTGCTAGGCAATTCAGAACTGCCCCAAATACCGTGTGAGTTACTTGCCTGTTTGGTGCTGGAAGCTTTATCCTTCTGACAGGAGTCAGAATCCTTCCAATTGCTTTCTAGATAGTCAGTAGCTGGGGAGGGATCCACAACAATGCTGCACCAGATCCTGGGTCCAAACTGTTCCCCTCTGTGTGACAGCCTCCAGTGAGAGGTGTAAGTTCCTTCTATATTAGGAGCTACAAACTCAACTGAAACAGTTCCTACTTGTCCCGATGGAAGGGATGGCACTAGCACATCTTTTTTTTCAGAAGATGCCAAGGTCAGATTTCCCCACATAAGTTTCAGCTGAAATATACAACAGAAAAAGCAAAAAAGTTAACTTCACAAGCTTCTCTGCAAACTGTGGGCAGTAAGGAGCACTTAAAGTTCCACTGCTGAAAGGCCTTGTAGATACTAGGCATGGAGAGGCTGCTAGTAAGCATTCTCACATTAGTCACTATCACCACAAAGTAAGAAGATAACCCCATCTTTAAACGTGAACTCGGTCACTTACAGAAGAAAAGCTTTTTGAGTCATAAAAGCAACATGCCTGTTGTAAACAAGGTTGAACTGTAACATTATAACAGCACTGGAAGACATGTTCAGTGATGTTAATCTTTTTTGCTTTCCTCCTATAGTCTGCAGTTGTAAAGAATACCTAGACAGCTTATTGCCCCGGAATTCCCAGCTTGTGAATTAACAGGCCAAGTGAATCCTAAATGGGTTCTGACAGAGAATTCAGATTCTTAACGCATACAAATATTATCTTCCAGAACTATTTTAGTGTTTAAAAGTAATAGCAAAGGAAAGATACCTTTGTGTCGGAGCTCCATTCCACATTGCCAGTATTTTTCATTCGCCAGTGTTTGATAAACTTTGTTCCTGGTTGCAAGTGAGTCCCATCTGGCAAATTCTCATCCACAAATACTGCACTTAGTGTTGGGACAACTGCTTGGAAGGGTTGACTAGGACTCCTGGGATTGGGGGGGGAGGAAACAAACAAACAAATACACCAAAAAACCACCAAAACTGAGGAAGTCGTTCAGCTGCTATTTCACTGGCCAAAAATGGAGGCCATTTAGTTTGTTTTCTTTTTATCTCTACAAGTGTTTCAAAATTCTAACATTTTAGCTACTGTTTTCATCTTAAGTCTAAACACCACATAGCAGTTTGCTTTCCTTTGCTTAAGGTAAAGAGAAACACATCAAAACAAGATTTTCTTATTTGGAAGAATATTATTATTATAATTACAGAACTCAGGTTTAACAGAGAAAAGTTCACTGTTCTTCACTTGATTTGATTTAGTCTGACAGCACCTCGGGTTATGCTATTCTGTTAGAGAATGAAGTAATTATCTTTATGATGTTGAATCAAAAAGATGGTACTATAGTCTAAGCGCTAGTGTCCCTTATTTGGCCTTACAAGCAACATTTTTCAGCAAGATACCACAGTTTTCTCCTGAAAGGGGCTCAAAAATAGATTTAATCCAAAGCTTTACTGTTAATTTGGGTGCACTGAGAGGGGACTGGTGAAGCAGCTCATATGCATGCCAACTTTAAAAGATCTAAAAAAAATTAATTTGTACCTAAATTAGCATTGGTTTTGTTCCTGTAATATGCCTGTTCAGCAAAAAGGAAACAAAGATAGCTATTTCAAGCTCCCGACAAATGTAAGTAACTGGTTAATGTTAATTTGACTTTTAAATGCCCTAAATGGAAGGGATGAATTAAAGAAACTAGAACTATACAAGATTTACACCTGTACATTCCTAAAACCAAAGTGAACAGAAAAGGCGAAGTGGCTGCCTGCAAAGGCTGCTGTCTAATGAGCCTCAGCCTAATATCACATGAAAAAGGAAAAAAGAAAAAACAGCACTGAACATAAGCACACAGAACATACTTGACTTTATGCAGAGGCAATATAGCAGGAAGATACAGACTTTAAAACTGGCAGTAATGTTAATTTACGCTGTATGCGCATGCATGCGTATATATGTAATCCTACGCATTCCCCTTCCTCCTAAATCTGTATAAACCTGTAAGTTTCTGGTAATAACCATGAGTTGCTTTTTTTCTTCTCCTACTCTCCTCCCAAGTAAAAACCATAAAAACACTCCACCTTGCAAATTCCATTTAGACAAAATTCTCACAGGGTCCAATGACAAGTGACACTTTAAACAAGCAATTTTATAACCTTCCTCCTGTTACTTTAACTTGGTCTCATCACAAAAGGACAGACAGCACAACTAAGAAATGCTCAGCTAACAACATCTCTTACAGGAAGGTATTAGGTTGGAGACTCTCAGATTTCAGAGTAGGTGAGCCACTAGTTTCCAATACATGGACAGAGTTCCATAGATGAATTTTCCTGTGCAATTTTAGCTGCTTTTTGAGCTCTCGGACCTCTGCCTTTCGCTGTTTCTTCTCTGCTCGTAATCTTTGCTTTTCTGCCTTCAGAAATCTTTTGTCCATCTGTTTCTGGAGCCTGCAGAGAGAATAATCCACCTTGTTACAATACATTAAATTGATTAGGATTTAGCTTTAGCCAACACAGTCTTAGTCTCAAAGGGAACACTTCAGGAAATGTCTCATGCTTCTAGACTGGATACCAGATGATTTTAAAAGAATGTCTCCACAGTTGCTTGTGAAGATATTTTGAATGGCCCCAGTGAAAGAGCAAACTTAAAGGCAGATTAGAGTATGCTCAAAAAAAAGCAAGCTCTCAAAGTTTGCTACCCACCTATGACACAAAATTCTGTCTTTTCTACTTTGTTATTGAAAATCCTGTAAGGTTCGTGTCTTACAGCTTATATATAACCTATTTTTAGCTACTCACAATAAAGTTTGAGTACCATTTTCATTTCTTGTTCTCTTGTTTAGATTTAGAATCTAAAATGAAAGCTGAACATCAACCCAAATACAGGTGTCTCCACTTTGCTATCAGGAAAATCTTGTCAGGAACTGACAGGTGCCACCATTTACCTAACTTGCTCCAGAGTAGCAGGCAGGCGAGGTGAAAACTCTGCAAGGCTGTGATTCTCAGCAATACATAGTACTGGTCTTCGCAGCTTTAACAAGACATGATTAGGATCATGTGCATATGTTCCTGCTTCACACTGTTCACAGATATTGTAGGCTGGACAAAGGCTGCAAAGAAGAAAAGGCAGAAGGTTATCAAGAGGCAGACAAAGAATTAATGCACTAGAAAAAGACACTGAAGAATAATTAATCCCTACATTTCTGCAGGGAAACAACTCTGTATCATATTACCATTCTAAACAGTGCCTGAGTGAAACAGAAGCTGGTTTTCTCACTTATACATCAATATTTGGAGCCATCTGGAATATCTAGATCAGTATCTCTCTTCTTGGCAAAACTGCAACACAGTTCTCACTTCCTTCTTAAATACACATAGAAAAAACCTGATGCTTCCTTTAGCATAAGTGACTAACAATTATTGCTATAAAGGATAAAACATTATACTGAAATCCAATGCCAGAAACAGCCTCATATGTATGAAAATACAGAGGATAAGTCAACTGAATATTCAGGGATGCAAAGCAGATTGCTCCTGCAGGAACAGGACTGGTAAAAAACAGACTGTCAACTCCTGCCAGCAAGAAAAATAAACATCCAAAGAAAAACCCCTGTTGGCATTCCATTCACTGCTGCTGCCTAGTCCTAAAATACTCACCTTTACAGCAATTGCGTCATTCAAATAAAAGCCTCATTTTTGACACCTCACTTAAGACACTCATGAAAACCTATTTCACATTATTAAACTGATAACAGTGAGATCATTTAAAAAAAAACCACACACACATGACATGCTTTAGTCTCATTGACTGTCAGAACTAAATAAAGGACTATTACAGACTGGTGGTTGTAAGTTTTGCTTTTTTGTTTAGTTAACTGAACTGAATGAAACAGTCTCCTTTACAACTACTGCATGTTATATGTAAAAAAGGTAAAGAGTGTTTGAGAATATAGCAAGAGTTATAAAGTTCTCTCACTTTAACAATCACGTTTTCTCAAAATAGTATTAATCTTGCTCTTATGCAGATAAGGTCTAGTCACCATAGCAGAGAACATAAGCTGTTTGTGAGACACATACTAGAGGTTCTGAAATGTACAGCATGCTGCAGATTAGAAATCTAGACGTCTACAACACCAAGATAGTTTCTCAGACTCATTCACATGCCTTACATGTTAGGTTTCCCACACTCCCATCATATTCTACCTGCACTGGTAGCGAACTCCAACAATTCGGGCCTGGCAGTTGCAGCAGGAGATCAGCCAGTCACACTGGTTGCCATTCCCTGATTGGGTCTCTGAAGTTGGAGGTGCTGCTGTAATAGAGCTCTCAGAAAAATCTGGAGGCTGGTTGTGATGAACAAGCTTCTCATATAGCTTCTGTTCCAGTTTCTCAACAGTTTCCTTAACTACTTGTTCCCTGAACTGGAAAAAAATTGAAGCAGTCATGGATGAGACCTACCTATGCAGCTTCAAAAGTTGGATTACATTGTCGCAAGTCTCCCAATCCGTAAGTCATAAAGTAGCTCAGAATCCACTTCCCATCCCCCAGCACATTCCAGATGAAATTAAACAAGTATCACATTCCTCAAAGAGGATTTGTATTTTAGGAAATACCAGCCCATAGGTTTTAACAAGGCAAATTAAAAATCATATATTCATGTTTACAATACTAAGGTTCTTCCATAACCTTACATGAAGGGAAGGAAACTAATCTCCGAGATGATTAACACAACTCCCAACAAACCCCTCTGGAGTCTCTATCATTAAGTCCTGATTTCATCCACCACGGATGTTTTAAATACAACCATTAAGTTCCCCTATTTTTAGTTTGTAGAAAGAAGTGGCAAAGGAAGGGAGATGCTAGAAAGAAAAGCTTAAAGATAAATCCATATACTATTGTACCGCTGTACCTTTTAAAGAACTCACTAGCTAATTCTCAGCATTCGTATCTAACTGCTTCTCAGTGATGTTTATTAGCTGTTCAAAACAAGTTAGCACCCACATCTTATTAATCTATAGGTTATGCTCATTGGCCTCCTGGAAGTATTTTCTTAAACTGAACAATCAAGAAAAGCAAGGTCATCAAACACTATGCTTCAAATCTCAGGAAACCCTAAGTATTACCCTACTGAAACTGGTCAAACAAGAGTCTCCAACAGCAACACCGTATTTCATGCTCTCTCTCATCATGAGTGCCCTGAAGTTCCTATGACTATCTGGAGTGCAACAAGGATTCTAGCATGGGAGCTTCTTAAAACTACACTCAAACCAATCAAGTGCATAAACCAAACAATCCACTTCCGACAAGAAGTGGCATGTATCAAACTTTTTTTAAGGTAACACCTACACTGTACAGTCATATTTAGACATCTGGTTTCCATTTATTACTACAAAAGCAAAGTGATTAGACACCTAAATGCCCTTTAAGATCCTGGTCACAAGTACTGAGAGCAAGTGTGATCAGATGTATAGAGTTAGGCATCACAGGTATCTTTTCCACCCACAGCCTCTTACATATGCCTTTAAATATACTAAAATTCAGAAGAAAACACACTTACTGTTTCCAAGTAGCTAGTAAACCATCCTGGAGGATTTTCATTTGCTCTTCCTGTTCTAGTGTGATTTAACTTTTGCTGGGGAAAAACAAATAAACAAAACAAAAAAACACACCACAAAAATAAGTCACAAACCTTAAGTATGCAAAGCTGCAAAAAACACTCAGTACAGCAAGTTAACCACTTTCAAATAGCTCTCCCCTCAAGTGTCTTTACAAAAAAAAGATTTCAAGTTCTTTGGAAAAGAGTGGAAAAGCAACACAAGGAAGCCACTGACATTTTCCTGAGAGATTTCTGCCTCGTTACCATTTGAGTGTAATTACACATCAAAGCCAAAGAAATCAAGTCAACCAGAAGTTACTAGATGGCAATCAGGGCTTCAAGAGACCAATTGCTTTGTTTATCAAAATACTTAAGAACGGTCAACATGAAAGAATCTGTATTTCTAAATGCAGCATCAAAATATCCTCTTGAAGACATTCAAACAATTTTGCGAGCTTCAATGGGTGCAGGTAGCTGCAAACCAAAGGACCCGTTGCAACTTCTGAACTCAGAGTTTTTATGTATGGGTAAAGATGACTATCAGTCTATAAAGTGAATTACACTTACGAATTCTTTGTTTTAATGAATATATAATCCAGCTCTGCATCCTACCTGAATTGTCAGCTCCTTTTCATTTTTTAAGACTTCCTCTAAGCCCTGAGCTGGCATGGAACACTGCGAAAGAATTTTCTTCTCGTCTTTAAGAGGTGCCAACTTTTCTGTCACAGTTTTTTCATGTAGTTGCAAAGAACAAGAATATGAAGTTTCTTTCAGGGAAGAGTTTTCTTCATACACATTCATCTGAAGTTGATTTCGTTGTTTAACTGCAATCTAAATAAACAGTACATACATACACCATAGTCACTCCACTTACAGCCAACATACAAAATCCTGTAAAAATACAGCACTACACTACACTGGAGAGGTTGGGGAAAGACTAACACACACAAAAAGAAAAACTGAGTGAAATGCCAAGGTACAGTCAGCTGATAGTCTATTCTGCCTTTCTTAAAGGTTACCAAATTTAAAAGTTTATTATAAGCAAAAGGTTAATTATGCAGATATTCTGCAGGAATTTTTCAATCTACAATAAAGCTGTTCATATGAGCCAGTAAATGATACAGAATCCGTCCAGGAATTTACAGTGAATTTTAATTTATGATTATTTTCAAATTATCAGATTTGAAATTCAGACCATGAGCAAAGAGTTCTTGAAAGCATTAGTACTGCACAACTGAAATTTAAAGGAATGCAATTCTTATTTTGTCTAAGTAAAATTTACTGCTTATAAAGTAACTAAGCATTGATACCAATGAAAGTTTTATTGCCAGAGTACAACATTAGAGTCTACGTGGCAAGATTTTTAAAGGGACCCCATTAGAGACCAGTATCTCCAAACATGGGATTAGCGTTTGAGAAAGCCAGCCATTTAACCAATGAATTGGCTGCTCAGGGCCCTGAATCACAACTGCCTATTCAACTAATTTATACAAATCAAGATTAGCCTGGATGGAAAAAAAATGTAGCAAAACATTCAAGCTAGCATCCAAAGCTAGAAAACTGAGCTATTCTGATTTCCATGGGCCAGGTAATGCTATCTTTTTCTCAGCTACACCAATTTTAATTGGAGAAGGATGAATATATTGAAAAAAGTCAAAGAGAGCATTTACCTTCAGAGCTTCTTCATATTCCTCTGAAGAAAAAGGGAAAGAAATGTTAGTTTTCCCTGTCTCAAACAACAGATGTAAGTTTAGCACACAGTATTTAGGGACCCTTACATCAAGGAGTGTCTCCCATACCTTCTGTAAATTCTTTTAAAATAGTGCTACTGAAGGAAGAAGTATCTACGGCAACAAGCAAACATGCTCTCACAGCCTAGAGACTTAACATTCCATTAATTTTGTCATTTCCAATTTGTCCCTATGGATCAAAACCTCCTTCCTTTGGGAAGAAATTGATGCCCAACCATACATAAAATTCAAAAAATCAAAAAGCAAGCATTCTCAACTGCTTCTCCAAAAACAGGAACAACAGTTGGGGTCTGTTTACTGATTTCACTTCAGTAAAATAGCAGCTCACCTTTGCTATTCACAGAGACCTGCAAAGAGAAATAATAGTGAGTAATAGCCACTGATATGTTTTTGTGATTGTCTTAAGAGTAATACGTTTTCAGAATAAATGTACTTTTATTCAGAGTTGCTAAAATACCACTCCTTCAGATACTTGTTATTGCTGCCATGTTTAATCATCAATCAATGTTGTGGTGTTCCAGAGTAGACCATGTTCTTTATTAGATTTACACAGTAAGCAAGGTCTCTGGCACCTACTAGCATCCAGAACAAATGTGGTCTCATCTACTGGAAGTAAGTTGGTGCCGGTACCACTGGGTTTGCTATAAAAGTACACAGAGGTTGGACCCAGTTGCTTCTAATGCCCAACATGAAACACTTAACTGTTCTTTTGATCTAGGTACAAGCCAAGCCCATGTTCTATATGTGCTCATTTATCAATTTTGCACACAGAAGTTACTAATACAAGAAGCTATTTAATCACTACAGAATTGCATGATTCTGAACAATGTTTACTCTATTAGTATTTGAAAGAGATCTTTAACAGATGCATCTATATATTTATATTGATACAGGCTGGAAAATACAGGGAGAATCTTCCCCTGAAATGTTGCTGGAAGCATCTTGACATTTCCCCTTAGGGGGAAAAAAAAACCAAAACCAAAGATCCCCATCTCTGCAATTTAGTAGAGCTACAAACCAAGTAGTGGAACATAGAGTTTGCAAAAGTTATGTTCTGTTTGAGAGCTACATTCTACTCTAAATCTCTAGATAAACAGAGAGAATACGAGAGGGTAAGGTTATGCGAAGCAGGAAGTTACTCAGCAAGGACAACTACAAGTAACCGATTTGTTTTCCGAGTCAGTAATCTGCTTGGAGATTATACCATTTGCATAAAACAAGCAGAGGATTTGCGTACACTGGATCACTGAAGTAAATATATGCTAATGACAGGGGACCTACATTTTTCAGAGGAAGGAATGTAGATTGAAGAGACGGGACTTTACCATGGCTGCAAACACAAATAGTTACAACTACCTTATTCTGATAAAATGAAAAATTGAAAAGTCCCTCAACTGAAGCATCCCTCCCTCAGAGCACGTAGAACCACTGGCTGTTTCTATGGGGTAAGAAAAAGAAAGGCAGTAGCTTCTAAAAGAATATTTTAAAACAAGTATGCTACATTAAGAGTGAAACCACAAGACTAATAGCTATTTTCTTAGAGGGGCCAAAACGTCACCTCTGATCTGCATAATAGACACTCCTGAAGAACCCACTACAAGTTATCAAGAGGCAGAAAGGTTCACACCAGTCATATTTTGGTAGACCTATTGGGGGGGTGGGGGTTATTCATTACCTCATCATTATCCTCATCAATGTATTTGATCTGAATGTTGTCCAGGTCAAACGAAACTTTAACCTGTAAGGAAGAAAGAACACAAAACCACAATGAGACAGGACTACAGATGTTTTCAGTTAATCATGATTATTAGTAGGGAAAAATCTTTTAACCCTTCCACCCCTCCCTTCAGTTTCTCAGTTGAAATAAGCACTGTTTTACAAAATCCATTCTTCTGGAGTTGAACAACTCTCCCCAGTGCCTTGCCTCCAACCTTTACTAACTTGTTATAATGAAAAGAAAAAATTCATTTTGTTCATTTTTCACCTTCCCTAGTTAATGTTTACCCCAAAATAAATAATAATAACCTTTCCATTATAAGGGGACTAGCTCAGGGTTAACGAACTCACTCATGGTAAACACTGCAATATACAAAGGCTAAAGCCAGCAATCACCGAACACTAACTTTTACATTAAAAAGCACCAGGAAGACAGCTCAGACAGGTGAGCAGCCTTTTTTCCCCAAAAACCTATTTGTGTTTTGAGAAACTACGATTAATTCAAGTACTAAAACGAGCAAAGTATCTCATTCTGGTACTCACTGGCTGATGCACTGTACATCTGAACATATAAACCCATTACAGAGAGCAGAATTAGGAGAATAAAGCTGAGCAGCTATTTTGTATTTTGCATTAATAGGGCAGAACGAACAGCATTAAATGACCCATATATGAAGGCAGTTGTTTGCTTATGTTGTATAACAGTTTTTGAGGCTCATGTGCATTTTTGTATCATTTAGCTACACAAGCTGTGTTTTTCTTGACAAAAAACTCTCTCTGAAAAACTGCTATACCCGAGATACATTCTGCTAGCCTGGACCTAATAGAAGAACACTAGCAGCCTTAGAAGACAGCAGGTGGCTGGGACTTACATAGCACCACAAGAGCACAATGACATAGTTACATACATTCTGCAATGCATGTGCTACAGGCAGGTTCCTCCAGTGATACATCCCAAATTAATTTTGGGAGTGCAGCAAGAGAACCAACTCAGCTTGTCAAGAAGAAACTGTGGTCTATGTCTACATTGTCTAGTACCACAATTTGTTCCCCTAAAACTCAAGCTAGAACTAGAAATCAGGTTATCCCTTATAAACACCAGACATGTTTAATAATACATTTAAACATAGGAAAGACACAGTTTAACTGATACCACCTTGAAACAGTAATTTACACAGCATAGTTCAGAGACACCCAGTGGTACTACCTTGATTAGAGAAACATTATTGTAATAGAACACCACACCTTGAACAAACACACCCTCACTCTCAGACTACTTAAGATTAAGGGCAACACCATGCTTACATAGCAATCTGCTTCCAAGCTTTGATGCAAGTAGGATTCTGACTAGTTCAGACATTCTTGTAGGGTCTACTTGCCACCAAGTATTTTAAGCCTGAACTAGCACCTCTTCTAGAAGACTGAAATACAATGAGTGAAGATGATGCAGTTCAAACTTTGAATTTGAGTAACTCAACAGTACAAGAACCTCCTACAAGGTACACTGGAATATGTTAGCTAAAAAAAGAACTGAAAGAGAGAAAATAAAATACTGGCAAGATCTCTTAAGATGCAACTTTGACAGTAAGCTAAAAAACCACAACAGTTGCTACAGAATTAAAAAAAAAAAACCAAAACACAAACCTGCAGCTTCATCACAACCAAGGGAATCGTCACTACACAATTTTAACCTCAGCCAATACAGGAATTTTCACTAAATAGCACTGTAAATAAACATCCAAACAAAAACTATTCAATATACCAAGTGCACGATATACAGCCCTTCATAAGCAACTGTCTATGCCTGCATGGCCCACTAACAAGAACAGTTATAACCAAACTAGCACACACAAGGCACCAGGAAACAAGAAACCAAAAATGTGTATTAGCGACTCAGTACCCCAGAAAGCAAAGATAAATCTTCAGGAAAACGTTCTATAAGCAACAGAAGAGTGTTACTTCACCATATCTACTTAAGTGAGTAAGAGAATGGGATATAAGAGGAACAGACTGTACTTTATAGGGGTACAGTGCCAAAACCAAGTATCCGTAACTGTGGAAAAGAGCAAAGTACACAGCCAAGGCCACCTGCTCACACAGAAAAACAAGCGACCCATAAGAAGCTTTATCCAAAACAGACTCTTCACGCCACTCTAAGTATATAAACAGGAGTAAAAGTTACTGTTAACGCTAAAAGAAAAACCGAGACCGCAGCAGAACAAAACACCAGTTCTAACAGCCTGTGAAATGGGGGAAGCCGAGAGAGAAGACGCTGGGCCCTCGGAGAGGCGCTTACACTCCCAGCGCTTCACCGAGACGGCTCTCCACGGCTGCGGCACCGCGGCTACAGCAGCGCTGCCCCGCGGCGGGCCCTCCGCTCTGCCTCCCGTGGCGAGGCGGGACGGGCAGCAGCTCACCATGGCCTCCACATCCGCCCACGTCGTGTGCGCCGAGTCTGACACCAGGAAACTCTGGGTCTCCCCACGGCAGGTGACGCGGAGGTTCACCTGCGGCTCCATGCCGCGCTCCTGCGGAGGCAAGCGAAGCCCTGTCAGGCGCCCCGACAATCCTAACATGGCGGACAGAACGCGCCCAGCCCCGCGCCCTCCGCGCGATACCATTGGCGGTCCCGCCTGCCACTCATCCCCCCC